TACAAGACTCCGATTGATCAATTAGATTGATGAGTGATAGAGACACTGAAAGAATTCATCATCATCAGTGATATTCACCATTTGTTTTTTAACTCGGACCAGGATAATTCTTGATTTTCGTCTGAACCTGTTCCTGAGCCACAGTGGGCGGCCTCGTCTGAACCTGTTCCTGAGCCGCAGTGGGCGGCCCCTTCCAAGGCGGTTCCAGAGCCGCAGTCGACGGCTCCCTCTGAGCCTGTTGCAGAGCAACAGAAGCGGATGCGGCGTCCTCCTCGGCGCATCCTGCTGAAGCGGAGGCGGCGTCCTCCTCGGCGCATCCTGCTGAAGCGGAAGCGGCGTCCTCCTCGGCGCATCCTGCTGAAGCGGAGGCAGCGTCCTCCTCCTAGGTTCCTGCTGCATTGGAGACGCCGGCCTCCAGAGCATCTCTCTCAGCTCCGGCCCCACGGCCGGCCTCCAGAGCGTCTCTCTAAGCTTCGGCCCCACGGCCGGCCTCCAGAGCGTCTCTCTCAGCTCCGGCCCCACGGCCGGCCTCCAAAGCGTCTCTCTCAGCTCCTCCAGAGACTTTTTGTTGCCCTCGCCCACCCTGGGTGGGTTGTTTTGATTTTTCGGACTCTGTTCTGTTTTTGTGCCTGGTTCCCTATCCGCCCACTCTGGGTGGGTTGTTTTGATTTTTCAGACTCGGTTCTGTTTTTGTGCCTGGTTCCCTATCCGCCCACCCTGGGTGGGTTGTTTTGATTTTTCAGACTCGGTTCTGTTTTTGTGCCTGGTTCCCTATCCGCCCACCCTGGGTGGGTTGTTTTTAGTTTCTGGACATTTTAGGGCGTCTGGGATCCGCCCTTAGGTGGGGGGTACTGTCATGGTCCTGGTCTGATTGTTCCTGTTTTCCTTAGTTATCCATTTGTTGTCCTCTGCTGCCCTCTTGTGTCCTACCTTCCTCTGTTTCTCTGTCCTGCCAAGCACCTGCTGCCAATTTCCTCGTCAGCTCTCTCTGTCTCTGTCCCCTTTAAAAGCCCTCCCTGTTCAGTTCCTGTTTGCTGGATCCTCGTCAAACATCCTGTCTAACTTCTGTCTGTGCTCCTCGTCTGTCCCTGGCTTCTGGTTTGGTTAATCCCTGATGTCTCCTTGGTTCTGGTACGTTTGTAATTTTCAGTTGGACTCTGATTCCTGCTTTTGGACCTGAATAAACAGACTTTAATTCACCTCTGCCTACTGGTCTCTGCGTCTGGGTCCTCCTCACAAACAGTGACTCATGACAGAAACATTTTGCTCCAGACCGACCAAGATAAAGTTTTATGCCACTTTTTCTTTGATGTAGAAAGACTCTGAACCTTATTGGCTTAAAGGTTGTTTAAGTAGTTGATAATGATAATTATCAGATTCAAAACGGGGTTTCTTGCTCAGATTGGCCGAGAGTGGGATTTCCCCGGGGTCACCCCGGTTTTTACTACCTTTTAGAGAGGGTAGCGTTTTCTGGTGGAGAACGGCCCAACCTGTCCTGTGATGTCCCCTACTGTGACTGAATGATTGGTAAAGTTGGATGGATGGTTTATCCATGATGAGCGGTCACATTTAGGGGGCCTCCAGGTGGGAGTGAGAGTAGATGAATTTGGCCTTATTAGATTTATAGGCTTAGGTTATCTAGTCGAAGGTAACTTAAAATAATGTGCGCATAGGAAACTAAAACAGCTTTCCTTTAATTAGATGAAACCCAAATTGTAGTTAAATGCTGAAACTGTGGTCTTGAGTGAGAACATTTGGTCTGTGAAGTTTTGATTGTGATTACTTTTGATCCCTAATTAATGATACATGACTAATTATAGATGCTCTCTGGGTCACCCGGTCCTTCGAAGATGTGTCACTTCCTGTGTTTTTAAGTTACCTGTAAAAACGGTAACTTATCAGGGGGAGTTGTTAGGTTTTATTATTTATACATCATGTGCAATGTTATTTTGTTAGTCAGATTAGACAGAGCAGAAGGCCTTCCTTCACATTGTGGATGTCGCGGTGTGTACGGAGGTCATCTAATCAAGACAGCCTTCGTGTCTTTAAGAATACACAGGATATGGGCACATCTTGGAGCCGGTCTGATAGGAAAGCTGCTGTATCTGTAACCCTGAAGCATAGAAGCAACCTGCATGGAGTTCAAGACATGGACGGCGTGTCAGTTTCTGATATGGACAGCTAAGGATCCACATGATGCAACACAGACTCAGAAGGTATAAGAAGCAGGAGATGACGTTGTTCGGGGCTCAAACTTTGCCGGACGCTTGCGGACGTGATTTTTGAGACCACAGCTGTGCAGCTCTAAGCATTTTTCTCTGTCCTGTAACGACCTGATCTGGAATAAACTCTGTTACTTTTTTACTCCTGTTTTTATAGTCCTTTTTTATATGGTTTTACCGAGTTTGAGTTAAGAGTAGTAAATAACTTGCTCCCAGGAAAAGAACCGGTGAGGAGGCCCCCGGGGCGCTACAGCCTTTACTTCCAAGGGGACAAATCCTCCTCACTTTAACAAATATTAAATGTCAATAACACTCAGACACTCGGAAACAAAAGTGAAAAAAAAAGAATGACATGCCAGCCTATATGATCACAGCTCTATTAAGCCTTTGTAGAAAATAAAAAGGCACAAACATATTGCCTATTTATAAAGAAAAATGATAAACAAAATGAAACAATGCCAATTTGTAAACATGAAAGCATGACAACAAATTGGATGGTATGTGTTGGTGATTTATAAGCAAACAAACCTTACATGTGACATATCAATCAGAAGGAGCTGAACACTGTCACACCAGTGCAGGTCTTTGTCAGCCGTACATGCAGAAATGATTACAGACTATTATCAGAAGCTTCTGAGTCACTGTCACAGTCATCATCAGAAGTATCGTCAAAGCTAACACTCCCTGCTCCAGACAAAGTCTGTAGATAATATTCTCTTGCTTGCAGCTTCATCTGTTTTAAGTGCTGCAGCTCTCTAAGGATGATGCTATGGAGACCTCTTAGACCTTCATTGGTTAGGGCACAGGACGAACCTTTAAAGTTGAACATAAGTAAAAATAACAATTAATAAAAAATGTTAGATGCTTTAACTATTAATATGTTTATACATCTCTTAAACACATACTTTGAAATTTGCCTCTCGATGACAGGTGGGAAAGGTCCTTCAGTGTGTCTTCTTGGGATAGCAGAGATTTCCAATGATGGTCCATCTCTCCTACAAGGATCCTCTTTTCCTCTTCCAGTCTCTTCACTTTCATGAGGCCATCGAATGCCCTTCTTTTTGTGGAAAGACTGACAGAGTCTGAAATACATTCAAGAAAAAGACAAATCAACTCAGTTTGAATTTGTGATTGAGTTTAGGTCTACACCTGGCGTATGTACTGACATTATCTGTCAGGTATGATGACAGTATAAAACATATTAGTGTATGTTTACTTACCATTGTGTGATTGCTGCCATGGTAATGTTGTGTCGCTGGACAGGATGTCTTCCAAAGACAGTGCTTCTGTGCCTGCAACAGTTTTGTTGTATTCTTCCAAAGCCAATGCTAAAATGTTTTTCTCATGTTGTATTTTGCGACGAGCCTTGACACGAGCATTTGTTTCCGTCTGTGTCTTTGTAAAGACGCTGAGAACGCCTTTTGATGCTTGCAGCCAGAACCTCGATTCTGCCTGCCAACGAGTCTGGATCAGTTCTGGTAGATGTTGCTGATGATGATAAATAACGGGGATGCAGTTACATATAAGTACTTTTGGAATGTACTCTAATTTTTAATCTGTAAAAGCTCACCTTCTGCCCACTTCTTAATATCATTGACCCAGTCATCAAGTTGCATGTCAGTCACTAAAAGCTCAGTTTTTAAGCACACCAGGTTGTGATGCTGTTTTTGAAGAGCTTTTGTGGCCTGCATTGACAATTTCAAGTAAAAAAAAAAAATCAGAGCACAGCAATTATTGGAATGAACAAAAATCAACAGTTTCACTACCTTCTGGTATTGATGAGTTAGTGAGGTGGCCAAGTTGTCATGTTTTTGCTGGTTCCAGCGCATGGCCATAAGGGTCAGCATGTCTGTCCGTCCTGTAAACAGAAGAAGCCCGCAATAGTAGACTTTTCCGTTATCATAGTTACTTACCTGGTTAAATAAAGGAAAATGAACTTATAATTTCAGGAAACCAATCTTTGGTCTTCTCACCAGCTTTTGACATATGTTTTGTCGTAACAGTGATCCTTGAAAGAAATGCATTACACTGTTCAACTTCTTCCCCTAGAGTCAAACCAGCACCCTCTTGATATGCTCCACTCCATTTAACCTAAATAAAAGCATGCAAACACAAACAATTTCAACAGCCAAAGATGTTCATGCATTTATGCAAGGTTATTCAATGGCTATTCAGTGTTCCTTACCTCACATTTGAAGTCATGGGCTTTGGCATGGAACACTGAGAGAAATGGCTTCATTTGAAGCAGGTGTTGGAGCTCAGGACAGCTTTTAGATACTTTTTGAAGATATGGCCAGTACTTGCATGTTACATCCATGCAAAAAAAATGTGATCTGTCTGTTGACCAACCTTTGCTGCAGGTACAAGGGGTATGCAAATATCTCACCCCTATACATGTTCAGGGCACAAAGTAGGACCCCATGTCTACACACTGCTAGCTCCAATCCCTCCTCGTCCAGCTTGCTGCTGGATCTGTGAGACATCTCCCTGGCTGCTGACCATTGCCCACCACAAACACCTCTTCCAGAAATCTAGAATGCATAAAATTAAATCAGACATGCTGTCATTACAGGGTAAAAGGTTACTGTCATTATAAAGTTGTAATCTGCAGTCTTACATGTTTGGTTGATTTGTGTATATAGTCCACAAATGTTACTACATCTTCATCCTTGGCTATGAAAAGGTCGTTAAATATAGCCTGTTCCTCTGATCTGGGAAAAAAAAGGAATAAAAACACTATATAGGTGTCATGGTCCACAGGTAGTGAACATCACTAACTTATACAAAGAATTGCTATATTTCACACATTATACAATACCCTGCTGCATTCTTGAAACGGTAATGCTTGCGGTTTCCATCCACTGAACGTGCAAGCATATCTGGGGTACAAGCTTGACATTTGAAGGGATCCTTCCTTAACATTTTATCTAACTCATATCTTACAGCTTCCCACTCGAAAAAACTTTTCAGGAAGCTTTCGGCCGAGATCTTTCCTGTCTGATTTAAGATGAGAGACAAATTTTAAAAAGAAAAATTACACAAGGACATAGGTGACCAAATCCAAGGCATCAAGGATAGGTGTTCTTCAAGTTCTAGGTGTGTCCTTTGCTAAAAACATCTCATTCAATCTATTTTGATGTTACCAGGACTTCCGATGATCTGAATGCTGAATGAATGAGGTGATATTGATTCAAGTGTATGTAACCAGTGACATCAAAACGTTGAAGAACATAACCACTCAAAAATGGAGTCAAACAGCCCATCTGGAATATGTACGTTAAAGTACTCACACGGCCAAAGCGGATGGTTCGTTGGTCCAACATTTTTAGAAATGCTTGACAGGAGAGACCTGGTGCTGCCATCTTCATTTCTTCAAATGTAAAAAGCACATCAGTTGCATATAGAGTGGAAAAGTGAAGGGTAGCTGGCCAGTAATCAGTTAAATTTAGGTCATGTACTCCACATGTCCAACTAGCCTCACATCCCTCACAACCCAGCTCTGGCATGCTGAGATCATAACGACCTAAAACACCAAGAAAGTGTAAAAGTTGTAATACTTGGTTATTGTAATGTCAGGTTGACATTGTGTCACAAACAATTTCTTATGGTCTGCAAAAAACTTACTAAATAATTACATTTTGCTAACATTGGTTTTTAATTAGGCCCGAGCAGCGAAGGCTGCAAGAGCCTATTGTATTTCGAAAGTTTCTTTTCATTATTCTTTTCTCACTTCGAACGCATTTTATGGGGACTTCGCATATTCAAAAACTCAGGAAAACGTGGCAGTAAATTGTCCCCCGCGTGAAATAGCCGGACTGTAATGGAATCCAAAATGGCCGCCCCCAAATTACGCCACAGCGCCACCTAACGTGAGTTGGGGAAACTGTAAGTCACAGAGATTTGAACTTTGGCACCCAGGTAGATCTCATCAAATCATGAAAAAAAGTCTTTTGGAGGTATGCCCTAAAACCCACAGGAAGTCGGCCATTCTGGCTCAAAGTGTGATTTTTGGCCATTTTTCATTTTCGCTCATGTCGAACTTTAACAAACTCCTCCTAGGGATTATGAGCTATCGGCTTCAAACTCGGTCATTATGCAGTTGAGGCTTTGGAGATTAAAAGTTATTAAAGGTTTTCGTTTTTGAGCATGTTTAAGGGGTCCCCAGGGGCCCCAAAGTTAGGGTACTTTTGAAGAATTTCAAAGTGGAATAACTTTTACAAAAAAAGTTCAAATCAAACCAAGTTTGGCTGTAAGGAGCTCCTTTGGGTGCTTGACCATAATGAATGGTCAAATGATGACATCATCTAAGCCCCGCCCCCTAAGGGAAGAAAGTCACTTTTTTCACTTGGGAGGGTCCCTTTCAGTCATTTTAAACACCAGCACCTTGAAACTTTGTCAGATGATAGAAAACATGTTGGTCTAACTTCGTTTAAAGCACAGAGAGTCTGAGTTAAATGGTGTTGCCGTGGCGCCATGGCCAAGTGAGGCGTTTCGCCATGAAAATACGATTGGCTCTCATTTCCTCAATAACAATCAGATCTGCACCAAAATCACAAGAGATGATCCTAGTCCAACTCCAAACAGGAATCCAGAGGAATATTTTGTGGGTGGGGCTTAATTTTCCTACAGCGCCCCCTAGAAATAACAAACTTCAGACAACCAGCCCCAAGCCGTTTTTAGTCCAAGAATATTGAAACTTTGAACACATTTGCATCTCATCAGGCCCTAACTAAAAGCCTCTTGGAGCTATTGTCTAAACCCCACCGGAAGTCGGCCATTTTGAATTACAGGTGCTGGTCATAAAATTAGAATTTCATGAAAAAGTAGATTGATTTCAGTAATTCCATTTAAAAAGTGAAACTTGTATATTATATTCATACATTACATACAAACTCATATATTTCAGATGTTTATTTTGTTTAATTTTGATGATTACAAATGACAACAAATGAAAATCTCAAATTCATCATATCAGAAAATTAGAATATTGTGAAAAGGTTCAAAATTGATGGCCCCTGGTGCCACACTCTAATCAGCTAATTAACTCAAACCACCTGCAAAAGCCTTTAAATGGTCTTTCAGTCTAGTTCTATAGGCTACACAATCATGGGGAAGACTGCTGACTTGACAGTTGTCCAAAAGACGACCATCGACACCTTGCACAAGGAGGGCAAGACACAAAAGGTCATCGCTAAAGAGGCTGGCTGTTCACAGAGCTCAGTCTCCAAGCACATTAATAGAGAGGCGAAGGGAAGGAAAAGATGTGGTCGAAAAAAGTGTACAAGCAAGAGAGATAACCGCACCCTGGAGAGGATTGTGAAACAAAACCCCTTCAAAAATGTGGGGGAGATTCACAAAGAGTGGACTGCAGCTGGAGTGAGTGCTTCAAGAACCACCACACACAGACGTATGAAATACATGGGTTTCTGCTGTCGCATTCCTTGTGTCAAGCCACTCTTGAACCACAGACAGCGTCAGAAGCGTCTTGCCTGGGCTAAAGAGAAACAGGACTGGACTGCTGGTGAGTGGTCCAAAGTCATGTTCTCTGATGAAAGTAAATTTTGCATTTCCTTTGGAAATCAAGGTCCCAGAGTCTGGAGGAAAAGAAGAGAGGCACTTCATCCACGTTGCTTGAAGTCCAGTGTAAAGTTTCCACAGTCAGTGATGGTTTGGGGTGCCATGTCATCTGCTGGTGTTGGTCCATTGTGTTTTCTGAGGTCCAGGGTCAACGCAGCCACATACCAGGAAGTTTTAGAGCACTTCATGCTTCCTGCAGCTGAACAACTTTTTGGAGATGCAGATTTCATTTTCCAACAGGACTTGGCACCTGCACACAGTGCCAAAGCTACCAGTACCTGGTTGAAGGACCATGGTATCCCTGTTCTTAATTGGCCAGCAAACTCTCCTGACCTTAACCCCATAGAAAATCTATGGGGTATTGTGAAGAAGAAGATGCAATACACCAGACCCAACAATTCAGAAGAGCTAAAAGCCACTATTAGAGCAACCTGGGCTATCATAACACCTGAGCAGTGCCACAGACTGATCAACTCCATGCCACGCCGCATTGCTGCAGTAATACAGGCCAAATGAGGCCCAACTAAATACTGAGTGCTGTACATGCTCATACTTTTCATGTTCATACTTTTCAGTTGGCCAACATTTCTATAAATCCTTTGTTTTTATTGGTCTTCAGTAATATTCTAATTTTCTGATATGATGAATTTGAGATTTTCATTTGTTGTCATTTGTAATCATCAAAATTAAACAAAATAAACATCTGAAATATATGAGTTTGTATGTAATGTATGAATATAATATACAAGTTTCACTTTTTAAATGGAATTACTGAAATCAATCTACTTTTTCATGATATTCTAATTTTATGACCAGCACCTGTACATTTTACCCTGTTGTGAAATCACGGACCTCTGTTCAAAAAATTGTATAAAATCAGCCTTTTATCCAAATGAGCTAAAACTTTCAAAATACGTTCTTTACAAAGCCTGCTGTAAGCTGGTTACAATAGCAAAGCGCTTCTTTAAAGTCTGTCACTCTGATTTTTCAAAAGTTTGCGTTCTCGCCTAATAGTTGGTCAAGTGGACAGATAATGCCAGGAAATAATTCAGCCCCTAGCCATGCTCGTTCCTAGGATAATGAAACTTGGCACACATCTGTATGAGCTCTCCACCTACAAAAAGTTTCATTGGAGCCATGGTCTAAACCTCTCATGAAGTCGGCCATTTTGAATCAAACGGCACCCTTATGAAAATAGAATCACTATGTTAAAATATTTCTAAAAAATCAGTCGTTTTGCCAAAAGAGCTAGGACTTTTGGAATATATTCCTCTATTCGCTACTTGTTTGATGGTAAACACAGCATAGCTCTTTTTAAAAGTCCGTCACTCTGATTTCTCAAAGGTTTGTGTTAAGAGGAAATTGTTGTATCTCAAAAAGTTTTATAGCAATCCTAGACAAATTTGGAACAGTTATTTATCCTTTGATTATAGAAAAGACTGCAAAGTTTGGCGTGAATCCATGCATGTGTGAGTATCTTATGGGGTTTTCAACTGCTGCAGTATATGGCATTCAAGTTTAAAGATTTTTCTTTCTTTAAATTATTTAATAAATCATCTAAAAAAAATCTAGGACAAGCAAGATGTGTTCCTTGACATTTGTGATTTTATTCGGGATTTTATTGCAAACTATGGATTTTTAATGATTTTTTTTGTTTTGAGTAGAGTCGGCCATTTTGAATTACATTTTACCCTGTTGTGAAATCACGGACCTCTTTTCAAAAAATTGTATAAAATCAGCCTTTTATCCAAATGAGCTAAAACTTTCAAAATACGTTCTTTACAAAGCCTGCTGTAAGCTGGTTGCAATAGCAAAGCGCTTCTTTAAAGTCTGTCACTCTGATTTCTCAAAAGTTTGTGTTAACAGGAAATTGTTGTATCTCAAAAAGTTTTATAGCAATCCTAGCCAAATTTGGAACAGTTATTTATCCTTTGATTATAGAAAAGACTGCCAAGTTTGTCGTGAATCTATGCATGTTTGAGCATCTTATGGGGTTTCCAACTGCCGCAGTATATGGCATTCAAGTTTAAAGATTTTTCTTTCTTTAAATTATTAAATAAATCATCTAAAAAAAATCTAGGACATGCAAAATGTGTTACTTGACATTTGTGATTTTTTTCGAAATTTTATTGCAAACTATGGATTTTTAATGATTTTTTTTGTTTTGTGTAGGGTGTATTACCGCTAACCCAGGAGTTTGGCAGTGCTGTTTCTCCATCTTTTGAACATATACTTTAGACCCACCACCTGAGATGGCCGCAGCATCTATCTCACAGATGAGATTCATCCCAGATATTATATTTTATCCCTAGTTTAACCCTTCCTGACCAAAGCTGTGGTTTTCTCCGGCTGGTCCAGAGGTGAAGCGTGGCTGAAGAGCAGGAGCATAGGCTGGGAAGGAGCGTGGAGGTGGAGGTCGCTTGGTTCCCGCGGTCGCAACATACCAGGCGGTGCGAGCTGCGAGGGCCGCTCAATGCCACTTTTGGCTTTAATTATATTTTGGTTTTGATTCATGAAAAAAATAAAGTTATTCATACCATTGATTTTGACCACAGTGACTGCCTTTCCTGGTTTGATCTTCAAACACTCTGATGGACAATCACAAATTCTGACTGGGATCTCCACAGGTACGAATTGTGCTAAAGAGATTGACATGTTTAAAATGTAAATTCACATAAACTGCATATAAGATATGCAGAACCAGATAAACAAAAAAACAGAACATTCAAAATACAGTCAAAAGTTAACAATAAGAAAAACTCTGAAGAGTGTTTCAACAGTACAAATAAAAAGCTTACCATCATTGCAAAGAGTTGAATTTAAAACATAGGTAGTTGGAGGTAATGGCTGGAAGAACCCAGCTATGATGGTTTCTCTGTTGTGGAAGACATGTCTGGTGTGCATCATCACATCACATTTTTCACAAAAGAAGGGGTGTGGTAGGCAATCACGACACCGAAGTGTAGATGGATTTTTCCACATTGTTGGCAAAAAGGGGCTGACACACTGTGCTGAGCTGCTATGGTGTTAACCAGGCAGGGTGCTTTCCAACTCTCTGAGAATATGCTTTTTCTTGTGCTCCAGTTAGTGGACGCCGGAGGAACTTTTGGCACTAGTGGTTGACCTGCAGAATCATTCAGTGAACTCTGGAGTTCTTGTAGAAAAGACTCTTTTAAAAAATAAAAACATTTTTTTAGATGTTACAAAAGTATGTGCTATACTTTTATTATATAGAAAAAATAAAATAAGATGTACTACTGACATACCAACAGTCTCTGCAGCAAAGGCAGCCTCACACTGAATGTTAGAGGGATGAGAGGGACATCTGGTCTTCTCACTGTGGGACGCTATAATAATGAATTAAACATATATAAAAGTAAGGAGTATATCTAACATCTTACTTAAATCCACATTTGGATGTCCAATTCCAATTTAATAACCATCTTAAATTCCCATATCTCAAGATTCAAATTTGTAGTAGAAACTGTTAACTAAAAATTAAGAAAGTAATTCAGATTGTCAGACAAATGGAGGAAAAACATATTTGTTTCTAACCTTTTCTAATAAGGTATGGTAAATGGATAGTGAACCATTTAAATTATGTTGCCTAAATTATCCAAATTTGTAGGCTATTTTTTGTAAATTATTTAAAGGATGTTGCAGACTGTTTAAAAATATTTCTATATTTTGATGAGCACCGGTGGTTTGTATTTTGTTTTGTTTAACTGTATTTGCACTTTGTAAAGTTTTTTTTGTGTGTTATGTACCTCACGGGTTGCCGTAGCTAAATGAGGGCAGGTCCGATAAAAGCTGGCAGAGTCACTGTATCAATGAACATTCAATGACTTGAATTAACTGTCAAAAGTGCTTGGCACTATCAACACTTAGTCGTCCCCGGTGAAAGCAGAAAGTTTTCACGGTGACTAAAGTAATCAAGGTGACTATGGTGATCAAAATGATTGAGTTGACCGATGATCCACATCAAAGAAAGTAATAAAAAAAAACTTGAAAATTAATACAAGTGCTGGAGGGCTGCTATGACTAAATACATGTACATCAACTGCTGGAAAAGCATTCACTCTGTTGCAACCACATTGTACTGTGTGTCAAAACAGTAAAACTTCTCAGTTTTGTTATATAACTAACCTGTTGTTTGTTATTGAGTAATTTCTAGTCAACATACTCTTACCGTATAATTAAAAACAATTTTGTGTTGGGGAAAGATATCAGCCTTTATCAGATAAATGTTTTTACATCCACTTCTCTAGGTGTAAAAGCAAACAGAATAATTACTTGTTAGAAGAAATATATTTTGCCAAAATATAAATTAATATACACTATATTGCCAAAAGTATTTGCTCACCTGCCTTGACTCACATATGAGCTTAAGTGACATCCCGTTCCTAATCCATAGGGTTCAATATGACGTCGGTCCACCCTTTGCAGCTAGAACAGCTTCAACTCTTCTGGGAAGGCTGTCCACAAGGTTTAGGAGTGTGTTTATGGGAATTTTTGACCATTCTTCCAGAAGCGCATTTGTGAGGTCGCACACTGATGTTGGACGAGAAGGCCTGGCTCTCAGTCTCCGCTCTAATTCATCCCAAAGGTGTTCTATCGGGTTGAGGTCAGGACTCTGTGCAGGCCAGTCAAGTTCATCCACACCAGACTCTGTCATCCATGTCTTTATGGACCTTGCTTTGTGCACTGGTGCACAGTCATGTTGGAAGAGGAAGGGGCCAGCTCCAAACTGTTCCCACAAAGTTGGGAGCATGGAATTGTCCAAAATGTCTTGGTATGCTGAAGCATTCAGAGTTCCTTTCACTGGAACTAAGGGGCCAAGCCCAGCTCCTGAAAAACAACCCCACACCATAATCCCCCCTCCACCAAACTTTACACTTGGCACAATGCAGTCAGACAAGTACCGTTCTCCTGGCAACCGCCAAACCCAGACCCGTCCATCAGATTGCCAGATGGAGAAGCGCGATTCGTCACTCCAGAGAACGCGTCTCCACTGCTCTAGAGTCCAGTGGCGGCGTGCTTTACACCACTGCATCCGACGCTTTGCATTGCACTTGGTGATGTATGGCTTGGATGCAGCTGCTCGACCATGGAAACCCATTCCATGAAGCTCTCTGCGCACTGTTCTTGAGCTAATCTGAAGGCCACATGAAGTTTGGAGGTCTGTAGTGATTGACTCTGCAGAAAGTTGGCGACCTCTTCGCACTATGCGCTTCAGCATCCGCTGACCCCGCTCCGTCAGTTTACGTGGCCTACCACTTCGTGGCTGAGTTGCTGTCGTTCCCAAACACTTCCATTTTCTTATAATACAGCTGACAGTTGACTGTGGAATATTTAGGAGCGAGGAAATTTCACGACTGGATTTGTTGCACAGGTGGCATCCTATCACAGTTCCACGCTGGAATTCACTGAGCTCCTGAGAGCGACCCATTCTTTCACAAATGTTTGTAAAAACAGTCTGCATGCCTAGGTGCTTGAATTTATACACCTGTGGCCATGGAAGTGATTGGAACACCTGATTCCAATAATTTGGATGGGTGAGCAAATACTTTTGGCAATATAGTGTATGTATTAATTTACTAATATGTGTAAAAAAAATAGTCTACATCTGTCAGTGATCATGTTTTGAAAGAAGTACTTACTCTTAGGTAATTGATTTCTTGTTGATCTTGCCCTTTTATAAAGTTTGTTACCATCTTTATCCCTTTTTCTCCACCTTACTCTTGGTTCAGGTATCTTCATAGGTACTTGATCATCTTTCTTCAGCTCGCAAGTCATCAAGTTGTTGAAGCTCGAGATTTATTTTTTTGCTGTTGTATCTCTGTATCTAGGTCCATTAATGGATCAGAGATGTTTGAGACACTCATGGTGAAGGACAGACAGACAGACAGAACTGTTGAAAAGTTAAGAATAGACAAATTAAGGACACAAAGATGATAAACAGATAAAACAGATGTGGCTCTTAAAAGTGCCTTTTGTGGGTGCTATATAAAAGAGCAGAAAGATACGTGAGGTGATGAGATCAAAGAGGAACCTGTTGACATAAAAAAAAGAAATGTTCAGATTTAGGAAATTCTTGATTTCTCTTTATAAGTTGCAACAGCAATAAACAAAATAGACAGGTGTAGAGATCTTTCCCTGTAATGATCCAAGTTCGTTTTAATTGGAAGTAAATGGCCTAGCTGCAAACAGACAGGGGTTCATAGACAAACTTTTAAGGATCATTACAGCATAGGGTCACTGGCGTTTATATCGATCCTAAAATTTTACAACAAGCATGACTATAAAGAATTCTGTGACTCTAGCATGGCCAATTAAATGAATAAAGTGCAGGTTCAGTTGAAGCTTATGGACTCCAAGAGGCTAATGTAGCTAGCTTCCCGTCCAGTTCTTCCGGTAAATTTATTTTATAAATGTTACAAACGTGTCTAAATGTCTTCAACCATTCGCGGCACAGTCCGACTGCCATTAAGTCCTAAAACTGCAATCATCAACTTTATAACGCTACACTCTAGTTATTTTTTTGTTTTATAGTACAGAAACATTTTGGACAGATTCAGGTTTGTACTCACAGGGGTGCAAGCGTCGCATGCGATGACGTCAGCGTCTTCTTCTTCGTGGGTTTTTGCGGGATACGTACTTATTTTTATTATTTCAATGAAAAATATTAAACGTTCACAGAACTGTTTGCATGCAATCACAAAAGAAAATCATTTTTATTTTTACTTAAATTAAGTTGGTAAATTTAAAATAAAGGATTTTAAATCAAGCTAAAAAAAAAAAAGGCTTTTAAATCAACTTAACAACAACCACAACAAAAACCCTCCGGTTTTATATTTTACTGAGTTATTTTTAAATACCAAATTAAAGTTTTATGAACGTTTATGTAGTAAATATTATTAATATCCTATTCAAACTAGCACATACATTGTAAATAAAGGTTTTTTAAAAAAATAGATACGTCATCTTATTCGTTCCTAAGTCGTAAATATCGGACGCTTAGGGAACGGTACAACATTCAATGAGAGAACCCTTCAAGTCACATATTGACGCCAAGGGTACCTGAAAAAACGTCAATATGTGACGAGTTGGAAGTGAGAATGTGTTGGTTTCTCTCTCAAGGCCGCACCATTCCCTGCAGGATGGTGTTTGCAGACCAGACAGAGCTTCTTCCATAACAAATCAGATTATTTTTCAGGTTTATTCATAACATGTTACTGTTTAACCAAAGTGTCTGTAATTAGTTTTGACTCTGACTACTTTCCATTGTTGTAAGTAGGGGGGGTCATTGAGAGAGTGTCTAACGCCTAACCAAGGTCTGGACCTGCCCCCACCTGTTGCTGAGGATCGGACATTTTTCGAAGATGGTCGCAGACATGTCATGTTTGGTGTCTATCAATCCGACACGCTCCCTTGAGCACAATGCTGTAACTCTCATTCCAGTCGAACCTTCCTATCTGCAATTTTGACCGTTTTGTCCGATCCATTTTTGGCCAGTTTTTCTATCTCGAGAATCGTAAATCGCAGCGAGACGCGGACACTTCCAGCGTGTCGGGCGCCCACGAAAACATGGAGGTGGAGCTTATTTTCATCCCTCTATCTCCTTTACTTTTTTGCAAAATTACGTTTTGTCCGATCCTCACTGGTTTTTACCCTCTAACCCTTCATTGTTGCTGATGGGCAGAAAACTGATATCTAGAATTGAAATAAACTTTATGAATTAATGCCCTATTCTTTAAAAAAGTGTCTCACAAAAGCTGTGAAAACAGCAGATCTAGTTCAACACATCATACAACGTTTCCATCCCAAAGCAAACACTTCCTGATCTACTATGAATTATGCATTACACACAGAACAATAAAATCTTCATTCCACCTGTTGTGGATTTATATTCAATACCAATCCAGGTTGGCTACCATATTTGTGTTGTGAATAACTGTTATATTCAATTCCCAGAAAGCTGGGAATTCATATATTCTGATACTTTAAGATTTTTATTGCCCTCCTAAATATCTTATTTAATCAGATATTATTTCAGCTGTTATATATTGCTTATGAACACACACCCTACTGTGTGTTAGAACAATAGATGAAAGAGTGATTAGAGCTCAAATCCTGGTCAAACAGTTATTTCTGCACATACATGGAATAAATTCACCACAACTTCTGTTCAAAATATAAGATTTTATTAACAAAAATCATTCAGCTCCAAGTCAAACATATTTCTGTTGGAAGCTGGAGAAGTACCACCTTTCTCCAGAAGAGTCCGCCGTGGATCCTCCTGAGCTGAGCCTTCTTCACAGCTGCAGCTCATTCCATCATCAGAGGATCCACTACTTAAGCTGTCTTCAGAACTTGCCTCAACGCAGCAGTGTTGATCCAGTTGGTTAGCACTAAGCCTAGAACCTTCTGAGAACTTTTGTTGACTTTTTGAATCCAAGCTGGATTCTAACCTCTGTCTCTGTTTTCCAGGAAACCTGTCTCTCTCCTGTGAAGCTCTGGAAGAGCTTAACCTGCCAAGCCTGCCCTCTGAGCCAAACCTGAAGCCTGCCTTTGAACTTCCATGCAGCCTTGGATCAAGAGCTGGAAACCCTGAGCTTAGCTCTGTTCAAACCCTAAGAAGTAAGACGCTGAAGCAGCTTTCGGACTCTGCGAACCAAACTCTCTCCAGTGCCAACAACCTTCCTCTCAAAGCTTTAATCAAGGACCCTCAAGGTACAACTCTGAAACAGTCTAAAGACAAATCTCTAAGTGCCCCGCTAACTGAACTGTCTTCCCACGCAGACTCCGGTGAACCCGTGTCCCTGGAGCAGAACCAGATCCAGATATCATTGTGCTTTGTTACAATAAACTCTGTTAAACTTTTACACCTGTTTCCGTCTAGTGGTGTTCTGCATATTTGGGTCTCTTTAGAGAACCCATCATGACAATTTCAGTTTAAAATTCTTCACTAAAACTAGTGAATCTCAACTAAACTAACTACTATGTACAAAGAGGAAGGGAAACATGGTTGAAAATCAGATTACAGTTTAAGATGGCTCTTCCATTGGAAAAGATATGTTTATCTGGAAGAATTTGGAATATGATCAAATTAGTTTTTCACTAATTTTGAGAAATTGGAATGTTTTCAGACCAATTCACAATGCAAATCCATGAGGTGAATAAAACATCATTTGGCCAAATAATATTTTATTAAATGATTTGCTTAATCAATTCAATTCAATTCAGTTTATTTATATAGCGCCAAATTCACAACACATGTCATCTCAAGGCACTTTACAGTTCAACCAGATCAAATTGATACAAAGTTTTCTATCTAAGGAAAACCAGTTGATTGCATTGACTCATTGACTCAAATACAATCCCCCACACTAAGCATGCTTGTAGCGACAGTGGAGAGGAAAAACTCCCTTTTAACAGGAAGAAACCTCCAGCAGAACCAGGCTCAGTGTGAGCGGCCATCTGCCGAGGCCGACTGGGGTTCAAGGAGACAGAAGCAGAGATACAAAAAGCAGCTGTAAAAGGCGGCCCCGTCCAGGAAACACACAGCCAGGCAGACGAGCTCCAAGGCAGCTCCCATGCCAGAGGACGAAGAAAGCACATCCACTCAGTCACGGTCAGAGAAACAGGACCACACTGGAAAACAGGCCGATCTCCAACATCTATAAACAAGGGTGTTGATAGAAGCAGCACAGCTGATGTTTCTTTCCAGGATGACGTCACAGCCAAACAGGAACAGACGAGGCAAAGCTACTCTGAGGAAAAGCAGAGAGAGCAGAAGGTTAGAGATTGAACTAACAGATTCTGCAGAATAGGAGAACAGAGAGAGAATGAAGCAGAATGATGAAATGGGGGTCCCTATGTCCTCCAGAAGTCTAAGCCTATAGCAGCATAACTATAGAGATAGCTCAGGATAACCTGAGCCACTCTAACTATAAGCTTTATCAAAAAGGAAAGTTTTAAGCCTAGCCTTAAAAGTAGACAGGGTGTCTGCCTCACGGACTAAAACTGGTAGTTGGTTCCACAGGAGAGGAGCCTGATAACTAAAAGATCTGCCTCCCATTCTACTTTTAGAAATTCTAGGAACCACTAGTAAACCTGCAGATTGAGAGCGAAGTGCTCTGTTAGGAACATAAGGAACAATCAGATCTCTGATATAAGATGGAGCTTGGCCATTTAAGGCTTTATATGTGAGAAGGAGGATTTTAAATTCTATTCTTGATTTAACAGGAAGCCAATGAAGAGAAGCCAGGATAGGCGAGATATGATCTCTCTTTTTAATTTTCATTAGAACTCTGGCTGCAGCATTTTGGATCAGCTGAAGGCTTTTAACTACAGTTTGTGGACTTCCTGATAGTAAAGAATTACAATAGTCCAGCCTTGAAGTAACAAATGCATGGACTAGTTTCTCAGCATCACCCCTGGACAGGATATTTCTAATTTTTGCAATGTTCCTCAGATGAAAGAAGGAAATTCTAGAAACCTCCTTGATATGGGACCTAAATGACAGGTCCTGATCAAAAACAACACCAAGATTTTTTACTTTATTATCTGAAATCAGTTTAATCCCATCCAAATGAAGTGACTGGCTAATCAGTTTCTTTTTCAGAGACTCTGGTCCAAAGACTATAACTTCTGTTTTGTCTGCATTCAGAAGCAGAAAGTTAAGAGTCATCCAGGTTTTTATGTCTTCAAGACATGCCTGTAATCTATGTAATGGGTTAGCTTCATCTGGATTTATAGACAGATATAGCTGGGTATCATCAG